TGATAAGTAATTCAATAGTTATTTGTAACATTAAAAGATTATCATCTGTAACTGAATAATGAAACATTAAAATAATTACAAATCAGTATTATTTAAGTTATTATTTATGATTTTTACCTTCACAGATTGTTCCTTCACTAAATTGTTCCAAGCAATACGTTTTCATATAATATGATAATGTTCTAAACATGACTACAAATTGTGAATTCGTGGTATTATTGACTGCCTTCATTAACTTCTCTTTCAATTCATCTGGGAGTAATGTATTATTTTCTATTAATGTTATCTGATTTGAACAGTCTTTTAGAGCCATTAATATTGCTGTGATTAATTTTTCTTCATGTTTTAAATGTACAAGAGCATCTAATATAGAGATCATTACATCTTTATATTTTAATAATGATTTCTCTACAAATAGTTTTCTCAATATGTCTGGAACTCTTCTTTCAATAAGTAAAGGATTAAGGTAGCAAAATTGTGTTAAAAGATCACAATCTGTATTGGACATGCTTTTGCTTCTTAGAATATCATCAATCATATTCTGACAATAATCAAATAATGTAACATCATGTATTTTGTTATTAAAGTCAAACGTTACATCATTTAAATGTTTCAAAAAAGAATTAAAAATCTCTTTCTTATTTGTTTCAGAATATCCTGTTAAGTTTCTTAATATTAAGTCTAATGTAGCAGGATCGGACTTAAAAGTGCTTACTGCGACACGAAAAAAGAAAGTAAGTGTCATTAAATTATTCTGAAGAGTTTTTCTTTTTGCATTTTCTGTCAAAACAGATAATAGGTGTTTAAGTTGCATTATGTCTTCATCTTTTAGTAATTCTCCACTTTGTACATATTTTCTTCTAAATATTAATTGTTGAATATATTTATGAGTTACTGCACCCAATCTATTTGTAGTATCAACACATTTATGGTCAATTATACCACATAGAGGATATAAAATATCCCATATGAATATATTTTTCAAATTTTCCTTTGTAGTAAAAGTAGACTTAAAGATTTGTGTTATATTTTCTATAATACAAACTATTGTATTGTATGCTTTTAATACCAATCCATTATGGTTAATAATTAAAGATATACTTATACCATCTATTGTATCTTCCTTAATATTAAGGAAATGCTTAAAAATTTTATGTACACAGTCTAATAGAGATTTTATTAAATGCCCTAAATCTTCTGGCATACTGATATAATATTTTTGCATACCAGTATTGGAAATTAATAAACTACAACATTCAAAAATGTCCTCTTGTATATATTTTATATCTTTTTGAAATGTTCCAATTAGTAGCTCCATTAGTAGCTTATAAACATCGCTCTTGATTTCCAAATGTCTGATTTTTAAACACGGTTTTAACGAATTCCAAACTTGTTCTGTAGAACACGTTTTGCAAAACCATTGTAAAATAAGGTCTTCTCTATGCACTATTGGTAAATCAACAGCATAGAATGAATTTTCTGCCAATTTTAAACGTTTGGGTAAGGGCGTCTCGTTTGAGTTTAAATGGTTTAATAACTCTGTTAAAATGAAAATATATATACAAGTTTAACTTGTGTATTATTTAAAAAACACGTGTTCACTTACCCACTGATAAAGCCATTTTAGATGTTTAATGAAATATATTTTGTGTTACTATCATCATTTCTTTATGCACTATAATAGTTATTTACACAATCAACTATTTATTTATGATGTATTACTTGTCCACACAATGCCAGAATGAAATTGGAAATATTCCTCTTAGGCACTTTTAGGTTATAATTGCTATTACCGATTCACCGGATTTACCTAGTGGTTCACCGGGTTCACCGGTTGTGCCATCTGTATTAT